CCCAAAAATAAATAAATGTTGAAAAAAAATTTTTTTAAAAAAAGGAAAAGGAAAGAAAAAGGCTGATGTTGTTTTGGTTCCAAGTATGCCATGCATGCTCTTGGCTCTTATTTTCATATTCAGGGATCATATCTAGGTTTTATAAGGCCTGAAGTTTATACAAGTTGGAGGTTTCTCTTAAAAAAAAAAAAAAGCAAGATTTTGAATACAAAATTATGTAAAGTTTTTTAGAATGCAAAAAAAAAATCACAAATTATTGCAGCCTTGGATATTCAGTTTCCTTTCCTCTAAGACCTCTTAGGCAGGGGTGCCTGGGTGGGTTGAGCATCAGACTTTTGATTTCAGCTCAGGTCATGATCCCAATATTGTGGGATTGAGCCCTGTGTCAAGCTCTGTACTGAGCATGGGTCCTGCTTGAGATTCTCTCTCTATCCCTCTGCCCATTTCTCCAGCTTGTGGATGCTCCTCTCTCTTGAAAAGAAAAAGTCTTTAAGACCTTTTAGGTAAAGTCACTTTTCTTGGCAGATAAATCCAAAACCTTTTTTCCATGTCCTAGAATTTTTAAAGTGGTTCTTAAGGTTCCTGTTTTATTTGAGATGAGCAGCAGAACTGCTCAGGACTAGAATAGGGAAAAGGAGATAGGGCAGCAATCTATCGGTTTATGTAAAGTTTGGTACTGCTAAAGTAGGACACACAACAACAGCAGTTACAAATCTGTATCGGATGTTAGTTCCACTTTCACTTGATACTTCCCCAAAAGATTAATCCCCTCTTCCTTTCCTATGTTGCCTTCTCAAATCACTTCATTTCCCCCATCTGTTGCCCTGTATTTCTTAAAGATAAATATACAAAAACCAAAACAAGACGACAACAAAAACAACCTAAAAAGACCCAGCTTTTCTGTCCGGGCCATAAGTTTACTCTAAAGGGAGAGGTGATGATGAAGAAATACAATAATGACGCTCTCCTACTATAATCCCTGAAATCAAAGACATCCTCTAGACAATAGGACCCACAGGGGTTCCCCAAGCTTGTTTCAAAACAACGCTGTACCTTGTAAAGTTTCACTTTTGCATAAAAGCCCTTTACTTTTCCCTCAGTCATTTCCCTAGTACTTCCCAAGTTTGCAGAGAAGCTCTACAAAACTCAGAAGGATTGTTGTAATTATTCCCATAAAAACTTCACTAGAAAGACAATACAGATAGTTATTTACCTCTTGAGAGAGTGATAGCCAAGGCTGGCTGTTGGCAGGGCAGTCTCTTCCTGCTCAAGCACATCTCTTGGCAGCCTCTCCCCTTTTTATCAACGCCCTCTTACGAAAGGAGAGTGATTGGTAGCTCTGTCCCTTCCCCACTCCCACACTAAACTCAGAAGCTTCATGAATAGTTCAACTAAAACATGATCAAGTTTCAGACACTCCCATAGTGAGTGAGAAAATGATCCACTAGATTAAATTGGAGCCCAGGTCAGTAGAAGAATATTTCCACAACTCTCCAAGGGCTGGGGCAGCCAAGGTTAATAGCTCAAGTAATACCTTGTAAGTGGATCACATGGGTGGTAGAAGATGGGTCAGGAGCCAGCTTTTTGGTCTCTGCAACGGTTCTCTGAATTAGCGGTGACATGTGGGACATTGTTAGAAATGCAAATTCTTGGACCCTCATCCATGCCTTAATGAATCAGAAACTTTAACCAGCCCTTCTAGGGGGACTGTAATGTATGCTCAAGTTTGGGAACTATTTACCAACAAGATCAGTTGAAGCTCAAAGATCTGCTTTTTCTCAAAAAGAATTTACTTAGAGCATTTGAATCAGAAAAGTCTAAACTATTTTACTTAGTATTAGGTATTACATGTGTTCATATATAGCGAAATTTACTATTTCCTCTAAGGTTTTATTTGGTTCATCAAAAAACTTTTAGGGGTGCCTGGGTGGCTCAGTCGGTTAAGACTCTAACTCTTGGTTTCAGCTCAGCGTGGGGCTCGGCGTGACAGAGCAGAGCCTGCTTGGGATTCTCCGTCTCCCTGTGTCTCTGCCCCTCCCCAACTTGTGCTGTCTCGGTCTCTCTCTTTCAAAAACAACAACAACAAAAAAACAAACAAACAAAAAAAACGTTTATAGGGTGTATGTATGTGTGTGCATGCACGCTCTCGTGCAAACTTGTCTATCTGTATTTACATATGCTTATAAGTATACAGAATATTTCTGGAGAGAATTATTCTGTGGCTTCAAGATGAGAAATTGGGTGGTTTATATTGTACCATGTACATATTATCTACTCAAAAAATTGTTTTGAGTATTAGATAAATTTTCAAAATATTATCAACCTTTAGAAAAGTAACTCTTCTGGAAGAGGTGCTATATTTAATAAATTTTACTGAATGCCAATAATGTGTCAGTCATTTGCTAGATGCTGGGGACAGAACGGAGAATGAGGTATGGTCCCAGCTCTCACTTTTATTTTTCCAAATAATATGTAGCAATTTAAATTCTAAATGTAGCAATTAAAAATATTTTCAGTTTCCAAATTCCAAATGTAGCAATTTAAAAATATTTGGTGGGGG